AGCTCCTGTCGCTGGGCCCGGTCCGGCCCCGCCGCCCGCGGAACCCCCCCACCCCGCGGTGAGGGAGAAGCGAGGCCCTGTCCCTCCCGCTTACTGAGGCGCGAACCAGCAACGGGCTCCTCTGCTCCTCGTCCTCGAGGTAGGGCTCCGTCCGTCCGCGAAGCACAAAGGAATGGCGGTGCACTCCAGTCAATGTAAAACCATTTTTTTAATTCTAAATCACTTTCACAACAGTGAAAATTAGTGAACGGTAATGGTAATGCACTAAACAAGCCATTATGGGCTGTGTGCAGTCTGAGTACAAGGAGGGGAAGTGGTACGATACAAAAAGCACACTGAGAAAACGGTAGGAATAAAAGCGTTAACACTTTTAGACTATTTCATTCTTGGATTGCCAGAAAATAAGGACTCTCAGTCATGTTTCTGCAGCCACCTCCATCTAAATCTATTATGTCTGTCACCAATAGATGGAAAAAACCCCAAAGCCAGTAAAATTCTGTATTTTAAAACAATTGTTAGTTAAATCAGTTTCAATACTTCTTGAACCTATTACAGTCACTTTTCTGTCCTCTTTATCGGCAAAAGGCTTTAAAGGGATATCCTGCTCCTCCCTGGATAACCTCTGCTCTTAGCATCCAGTTTCTCAATATAAAAAGAAGGAAAACCATCCCTCGCTATCACACGAACTTTCCCTTTTCATCAGCAGGTGGTGCTGCCTGCTCGTGAAAGGAAGTCAGAGCTGCGACATTGTACTACAGCCGGTTGTTTATAAGAATGCAGTAAATAGCCTTTTTCCTAGAAACGGCCCTAGTTGCCAAGTTATGCACTCGAGAAGAACCATATGCAGAAGAAGTTGAGCTTCTCAAAAGTGCCACACAACAAAAGTTGAAGCACCACTTCAGCTATTTGTAGTTGAGCAATACATTCTGCCAGATTACCATCGAGTCAGGTATAAATTTGACTAGATGTGGCAAAACACTGCAGAAGCTTTGCAACGTTCTACTTGCCAGATGGATTTTTGGAGGTAGGCAAGTTAAACTTCAGTCATCCTGTCTTGACACTAAAAGTGAACAGTTGATAATTACATAAATAAGCTTCTACAACAATTATTAACATGTCCTGCCCACAAACCTCATCCATAGACTAGAAAAACGTTAGCTATTTAAACAAGGTTTCTATTAATTGGTTTGTTTTGTCAGTTGTCTATTGCCAGGGAAGTCACAGTATTCATCCTGCAGGAAATCATTATGACTATCAGCAATCTTAATCAAAATAATCTAAAAACAGTAAGAGAAAAAAAATTAATTGCCTAGTCAGAGAAATATGAAAACTGTTCATCTTGCTAGGGCATCTCTCATATCTGCTGTTCTGGAGGAATCTACACAAATACATCAGGAGTACTCTTTAAAGCTGTATACCCAACAGGATTCCAAATCGGCTACAGAGCGCTGACCTTCTGAAATATTTTTCCCTCAGCACATAAATGGTTGTGGTCTCCTCCAGCACTTCAGATTATTATCTTTGGTAGATACTGCAGAGACTCTTGCACCACAGCCGTTCTGCTGTGGCATGGAGTAGCTGTATGCTCCTGTAGAGAGAAGCTCTTCCAAATGTTCCCTACTGTGGCATGTGCTAACAAAGGCAGGATCTCATTTTTCCTCCTGTAGAGTTTTACAGTATGACAAGTCTAACCTCAAAGCTCATGTAAAGATGCCTTTTGTTCCTCTCCCCAAACAAGCTGACCTCCAATCTGTAATAGGATTTTATTTGGAGTACATGATCTTGCGTAGAAAGTCTCAGAGCCTTGGGAAGAATAAACGTAGCGACAGTGACAAGGTTGTGAAGGGAGTATCCATGAGTGCAGCCACAGGCTGCTGCGCAGAACCAAGGAAGACAACACTGTTTTGTCAGTGAGGAACTGGGCTGGGTGAGGCAGACAGGTACGTCGTACTGTTCGGCAACCCCACCTGGCTCCACAAGCAAAGAATCTTCCAGTGTCTGGCTCCAGCAAATTCAGGCTTTAAAAATTGCAGCATAAATTTGTATCCCTTCTTCTAACAGCCATTAGAACCGCTTCTGGAGGGGTTTTCCATCATGCCGGGAAACAACAGCAAGAAGAGAAAACAGTCTCCAAACCTGGTTCCGTTTGCATCAAGTGCTGTGCCCAAAGAGTCTCAGCGGTGCTGTAGATGATTTCCTGAAGAAGGCTGGATGTTGATGTGAAGATGTTAAATAACATCCGCAGCTCTGGCAGATCCATCGTGGTTGCCAAGCACAAGATACCAACCACACTGTAGCAGTTTCCTTACCTGCCCAGTCTACCCTGGGGCAACTGTCTTTCACATAAACCTGGTGTCACTGATTGGCACAGGATTTCAAAGCAGCACTCCTTTTAGGAGCAGAGCTCAAAGCTAGGCCCATGGTTTGCGGCAGGAACCTGTTGTACAAGATAGCTGAGCTGAAATACGCTTTTTAACCAGTGTTTAATTTCCAACTCTGGTGCAAAATACAAGATTCCTCATTGTGCTGTGGTACCACCAATTCCTGAAGCCCATAGTTAGCTACGGAACCAGACACCAAGAGGTTTAAAATGGGATGGGGATGCAGTTTGTAACTGTTTCAACGGCCTTGATGGCCATGAATATACAGAATAATGGAAAAGATTTATGCAATCAACAGCCAGAACATTATCACCAGAGCCACAAACAGGAAGAGGCGGGATAGGAACTGCTCATCCACATATTGAGGAGTCCCTGGAACAGCTGGAAAACAGGAAATAAAAAAATAAAAAACCCACAACACAACAGTTCAGCTCCTTCCTCTTCTCCAGAATTGTGTATATTCTGAACATAGTACATTCATAACTTAAAAGAGATGCAAGGAAATCTACCTGGTGAGAAACTGTTGCTATTTCCTACCCTCAGACTGGCCAGCCATACTGGAAGATCAGAAGGAAGTCAAGCATCAGCTCCCTGAAGCAGGACTCATAGCAAACCTGCTCATGACTAATAGCAGCAGGCAGCTCCAAGTGCTACAGGACCTGCAGGTCAGCTCAGAGTACTTCTGGGGACAGTGCTGAGCCAAGTTCACTGCTTTGTCCACCGTTGACTGCTGAGCTAAGTTCACTGTTTCCATCCTAAGGAACTTTGCCACCTCTACCCGAGCACTCCTCCCCATCCACGTGAAACATCTCTGAATAAGGAAACGGTAAAATGGTCAAAGCCACATGCCTTGACCAAGAGAACTAATGAAAAGCACAAGCGCTCTAAAGCTCAAGATGTGCCTTTCTGGGATGCTTTATTGAATCCACAAATGAAAAGCAGATAAAAGAGTTGGTAAAATTATGGCTGTTACAACAGCATATATTTACATACTCCTTAGCTCAGTCACACCTCCACACAAATTTTCAGTGGACACTGAAGTATAGTTAATAGGCAAATTATTTTGACCCAAGGACAGCACAGGTCCCTGGCAACACAGGTGTGACATGAAGAATGTGTTCCTGTTTCTCATAATTCCTATGCCATATGACATGGTGAAGAAGATTTGCCAGGCACAGCCTTTCACAGAGGAAGTCCAGAAAATCCTGGGCAGTAGGTTTTCTTGTTCAAAACAGGTAGACTCTGTCTACAATACAGATGGGGAGGAGGTTTTCTGAGGATTATTTGATTTTTAGAGAACAAGGCCACTACTTGGAGTAACCCAACTGTTTTTTCTTAATCAAACACAGTGAAATAATTTCACCAGAATATTACTTCTTGTGGAATACAGATGACTGTCTCAGAGATAAATTCCTGGAAAAGGAACGGTCTTTGCTGTCATTATTTTGTGGTACAGAGCAGCAGTTTAAAATTTTCCTTCTCATCTTTCAGGAAACGGTCCTTTCCTGCTGTTTTCAAAATATGGGTCTCCTTCATACACCCTTACTGACTCTATTATTATTATAAGAAACTCCAGTCCAATTCGTCTCATTTTTCAGAGGGAGTCCACTGGTATACCAGTGGAGACATTTGATTTAAAAGGGAGAAGTCTCCAGTGCCGCTGTCCCTCTCCAGTTCTACTGTCCTCTCAGGAGGGCCTTCAGCAAATCATATGGAAGTGAGGAACTTGCTTCTTATATTAGCACTTGTTCAAAAATGTGTAAGACATAGACTATGTTCTCTACTGGGTGTTTTACCTCATTTTGTGTTTCTGTTTACAACACTGATTTACTTTACGGTTCAGAAAGTTTTGTCATTTAGCAGTCTCTTTGTTCAAAAGTTACAAGGGGTTTTGTAAAACATCTGTTTGTGACAGGACTCTCGAGAAGATAGGATGCACGGTACCTGGAGGAGGTCGCCCATCGTTTATGTTGAATGCTGTTGCAAATATACCAAAGGGAAATGCGCCAATGCCGAATGACATTTGGAAGCCACCATCACCAAACCCAAAGCCCTGGAATCCCTGCAGAGAACAAAGCAATAGAAGAGAAAAAAGGTACCAATCATTTAAAGTTTGTTTCAGAATATTTTGTAAAAGTACAGACATTCCCCCTCACTGGCTTCCCTACAGCTGAAGGAGTATCATGCTGTCTGGTGACTTTCAGTCTGCCACACTGTTGTTAAATACCTCCTTAGTTCTCCTGGTTTTAAAATGTTTCACGCAGTAGCAAACTTCTCAGAGCAGTCCAAAAGTTTGAGAAAATGGAAATTAGGAACGGCAGTTCTTGCTTGAAGGCCACAAATTAACAAAAGCTTTTCTGTAACATTTCTCAACTTAAAATAGTATATATATCTGATAATATATCAAAATCAACATTACCAATTCTATTTAGAATGTCTTAACAATGTATTAATAATTCTGTATTAATCACTATTAGCCATATAACTATAAGAAAGGCATTGTAAAAAAATAATCTGCATTGATTTTCATGATATATGTCCATTATTTAAACATTCAGTAAAGTGATAAATTGCCAGTGGGATGCATAGAGCAGTACAGAGAACAGCACAAAAAAAAAAAAAATTACCGGGGGACTCTAATTAAGGTGGCAGATAAAGCCATCTGGGGCAGGAATGCAAGATGTAAGGAAAGCAGGAAAAAAAAGAAGTGTTACAATGCAACAACATTGACCCCTATGGGATCAAGACTAAAATACCACTTCAAGACAAACGATAAGTCTTCTGAATCAAGATGAATCCTACTGTATAAAAGCAGTGTACTATTTGAGAACCAACTGTACATGAATCTAAGTACTTGCATCCTGTTTAAAAACTGTGGATAGCTCACAGTTGCCATGTTCTGTAATCCAGTAAACTGTCCTCTTGTCTCCAAATTAAACCAGTGATACCAATTCTGAAAAACTCTTTGGTCTATCACCTCCAAACAGTGGGAGGACAAAGATGATTTCGCTCATATCATAAAAGCCAGACATTTCTGGGTTGATCTTTGATTTGAGAAGTTAGTCTTTCGACTACAATTCTTCTCAAGCATCAAGGACAGCAAAACACTTTGCATGGCAGGTCCTGCACATGTAGGAAATAGCAGGGCAGCATCACTACTGCCATGTCTTCATACCAGATCCCTCTGACTTACGGCAGCACCAGCTAAAAGGTTCAAACAAGGTATAGCAGCTGATTTAATAAGGTGGCAACTCCCTAGCGAGAGAGAACTGAGCTCCCAATATATTCAATACAGAAATGTTCCTTAATCACACCCAGCAGAGTTGTTTGCTTGAAGCATGAGGTATACAAAAGCTCTCTGAGGACCCTAGGCTGAGTTACACGGAAATATGCAATTGTTTCATCAGGCCATGCTCACTGCCATTGTGCTAAAGAACACTGTGGTCTGTCCTACTGGCTACTCCCACGGCTGTTCAACCTATGCCAGCTGCTGTTTACATTCACTCTATGTAATCTCCTCAACAAAACCACAGATCCCTCTTCAAATTAACAAGTATTCAACAGATATCTACATTCTTTTGCTTGTAATGTACAGTAACATCCCATAGAAATGCTAGAAGCAGGTGTCAGAGCCAAAAAAGTAAGTTCACACATGGATTATATATTTCCATGACAGGTATAGTTTGATGGAAATACACTTCCACAAAGAATTTTCAAAGCAAAGGGTTCCTTATTTTATATATGGAGAATGATCAAGTATGAAAAGCATTTCCAGTGATGCCACACAGGGCTGTTTTCATGAACCACGATTCAAGTTAGTCTGTTCTTTGGGATGCTACAGAGTACTATAGGAATGGGGTTTTCTGCTGCACCACAGCTATCTATTATTCATGAACAACCACTGGGGATGAGCAAGAAATGTGAGCTACAGGATCCTCACACAGAATCTCATGCACACATTAGGTCCTCCAGGATGAATAAATATCACCATCAATAAAAACAACTTATCTGCCCGAGCTTGTTTTTTCACTTACCCCTCTGTTCTCTGGTTCAGGTCTCTGTCCTTGGGGTCGTGGTGGAGTTTTCTCTCTGCAGGAGGTTGTGAAATTAGCTCAAGTGCAAGGATACATGACAATAGTATCTGCAATAGCCTGGCTAATAAGCCAGAACAAACACAGAGCACACTCTCACAGGGCCATGCTGCAGTAGAGCTGGAGGCACTGTGAGCGAGCGCACCACCCAGCTTATGAACCTTCAGCATCACATCGCTGAATTAAGATACTGCACTTTCAAATAACAAAGTTGCATTGCAAAGGCTAGAAACTGAAGACGTGAACACTTTACATAAGCTTCTCCAGTCAGATAACATTCATTGCAACCTGCCACTTGTAACTGATAATTAACATCCAATTCAAATTAAAATAAATTGCCAGTTGAACAAGTAATAAGGTGTGCAAACCTAGGCCCTGAAAAAGCCACAAATATTTGGCAGAAATGTCAGTTCTATCTGTCTTTCGACAAAGTATTTCAAATTGTGAATCCAGCACTTCGATAGTTTCATCTTAAGACCTTAAACTAAAAGTTTCATCTTTAGCTTTCACACAAAAATAGTTGTATTTAGGTTTCTTACCTGGGGTCCTGTTGCCCAGTGCTACCTCTTCCATACAGAGGAATAACTTTATCTCGACTGATTCCTGCTTTGCATACAGGACACACTTGTCTGTTTGGCCTGGTCTCTAGCCACTAAAGGAAAGGAATTCACAAGAAAACTAGTAAAAGACCACAAACCCAACAACATGCAAACCACATCTGCAGCCAGGCAGAGAGACTTTAGCAATTTCTCAGAAAGCCATGGAGCAAAGCATTTTAGTAAGCGCGAAGTAGTCTCCAAAGTGGAGTTGGCATTTTGGCTGTTGTTCTGGTATGATCCACTTAATGATGTGTACACATTCAGAACTGCACTGGAGTAAAATATGAAGAAATAAACAGTACCAACAGTCCTGCATAGGCCAAGGGCTAGTGTAGATACCCTCCTTTCATCTATCTTTTCTATAATGGTACCAACAAGGGAAACCACTACGTATGCAAAGAGAAGTACACTCAGCACTTAAGCCTGCACGCTAAACCCCTGTGAACTGTCTACGGTAATTCTCCTACCAAAACTGGGAATATTCAGTGTTTAAGAAACTCAAAAGCAGGAGGCAAGTGAAACAGAACCTAAGTTTTCTTTTTGCTGAAAGAGCAGATTGCAGGGTGTTGCGCATGAAGTTGCATTAGCAGGTTGCGATTGCCCAGGAGAGAAGGCAGCGCATTTGGAAAGAGGGGGGGATACTCCAGAGAACGAAGGGCTTTATTGAGTAACAGGAGCTGATGAAAGACAAAGTAAAAGGAAACCTGTCTTACCTGGTGTAAACAAGGCCAACTGTGAGCATTCCCAGGACAATTTGTTCACAGAGCAGAAAAAGAGAAGAAAATGAATTAGTTAATGACAACTCGATCCGACAAATGTATAAAGTGTACCACAGATAGCACAGCTTGGAGACAACAGAATCCTGGAATCCAGCTGGGCCAGTTCCATAACCTCCCATTAAAATAATTTGTGAAAGCACAGCCCAAGACCGATCCTCACTGTTTTTTTCAGGTTACGCAATCTAAGTTGCTAACGTGATTCTCTGCATATCACCTTTGATCCCTGGGTCCTCATCCATACCAAAGGCCCATACAGAGGCTTAATTAATCTTAGTGTTTACTGTGCAGACTTTCTCTTCTGATACCATTAAAAGATATCCCTGAACTAAGATGCAAATGAGGAAGATGTCAGTAATGAGACTTCAGGATCTTAAAAGAAGTCACCTAAGGGACTTTTAGTTAAAACATCAGCCACATTCACAGAATCATGGAATAATTCAAGCTGGACAGTACCTCAGGTGGCCTGAAGTCCAACCTGATGCTCAGAGCAGGGTCATTTATTGAGATCAGACCCAGTTGTTCAGGGCAGAGAATTTCCCATTGTACAGAACAACTCTTCAGACTAAATTAATATGGCAACTTAAAAAAGGTCAAAGACAAACCAGCAAGCAGCCATCTGCTTTCAAAGTGGTCTTGACAACACTATTCAGACATGATACATGCTATTTTTTAGGATTCCATCCTTCCAAATCCTTTTGTGCAATAATTTCATCTAATTTTATCTTAACATGCCATCTGCAAGTGATTTTCCATCTCCTCCTAGAATAAAAACCTGGGTTTTCAGATGTTACGTACATTTACACAGAAAAGAAATGCTGTTCTAGGCCTCTATTAAAGAGCATAATTTAGCCTACTGTGTAAAATAAACCAAAAACCCCACAACATTTGGCCATGTCAATCCTTAATAACTTCTTAACATACAAGAAAGGGTATACTCTAGACCAAGCTACCCAACTAAGAAATGCTGCATTATGTTTGTGTGAGACATTTCCAATTCAGATCAAAGAACTGAAAAGTTAGTATTACAACTGCAATACCACATGAAAAGAGAAATAGCCCACATGTAAAAGCTTGTTATCTAATTATTTTTTTATGGTTTCAAATGAAAAAAGAGCAAGCTTGTACAATTTGGCCTCCAGAACCTAGTTTCAGATGCAGGTTTAAGTATGCACAGGTTAGAAAGGAATTTAGGTCTGAACAAGATATCTATGTTAGACCAGACAGCATAAATTAAATAACACACGTAACTAAGCAGTATCAATGAACACTGAACTGTGTATGTGGGGCTGCTCGTTTCGTTGCTTTTACAAAATAATTTAGAAGTATAGGAAGTTTAAGACACAAGAAATCTACTCCTTGGAACACGAGCGAAGAAAAAACAGCTGAGAAGCAAAACCAAAAATCAAAACCATGGTCCTCACCCATTTTATACAAGACATTTTATTTGACATCTAGAATTATAAAAATCATAGGCTTTTATGAGAGATACAAGGTGTTCTGGCTTATCTGTGAGGGCTTGAGTACTTACCAGAAGAGATGTCCACACAAGCTGATCACTGCATCCTTGGCAGTGTCTAAACAGATGTTACATTCGAAAGTGTTGTCCTGATTAGCATTCTCCCCAGCACCATTACTGCTACTGCTGCCACTGGTCCCTCCAGTACTGGAGTTCTTTGTTGATGTAGAAGTCGTGGGTCCTTTGCTTGCCATCCTCAAGAACTACCCAGACACAAGGTCAAGAAAATTTTCCTGCTGGAATCCTAGCAGTGAGAAAGAGAAAAAAAGCAAACAAATAATTTCTTGGCATTATAACATTGCCCTCTTCTGTTCCAAACTAGTAGTGATTTATCTAAGAAGCACTTGAATCCTATTGTTGATGGTTTTAATTAAACATAGCCAAGAGGGATCTTTTTTTAGAAACGAAGCTACTTTAAAGTCCTGAAGTATGACCTGGCCGATGTGTGACCTGTATTTTAAACTTACTGATAAGCAACTGACATCCACTGCCAAAAGAAAACCATCGTATTGTCTCATGAATGCCATTTGCTTTGAGAAGAATGAGCTCACCTACTCACACATGCTCTTCCAAAAATTCAACATAAGTTATAGCTGTGAGTGCAGTCTAAATAGGATTTAATCATGAAGCAATTCACAGCTTGGACAGACAGACTTAATGCATAGTTTTAAGCTCAGTGTTCAGTTAGTATGGAATATTAATGACAATAATGACGAGCAAAGGTGACAGTACTTGATTTGTCTCAGGAGCAGCATATTGCTGCTATCACAGCAGTGTGTTGACACAACTATCAAACATTTCTAGTACTTTCAAACATTTCTAATCTAGTATTAATGCAGTACTTAAAATTTTACTTTAATGTGTTTTAATTTTACTTACATGCTTTCACCTATCATTAACATAATCATATTTATCAAAGAACACCATTTATTTTATTTCAGTAGCAACAACCTCTACAGTCTAATTCCTTGATATGCAAATTCCACAGTTACCTAAAACTTTGAGACTTGGCACAAGGCTTTTACATTTCCAGAAACAAACACTTTTACCAGTGCAAGATTTTTAATCCAAGAACTAATTGAGTTTCAGCAGTTACAGAAATTAATTCACACACACAAAAAAGTTTAAAATGTTCCACTGTGCTTTTCCTGAAACTGACATCATGTTGCTGCTGTAGGGATATGAATACTTAGGTAAGGTTGTGAGAAAGAAACAGGTGATTATCTGAACTTTTTGCAAGTGTACAAATAGTTCAGCATTTTAAAGGGCAACCTGAATTTTTCAGAAGCTAATTTCTTTGCAAACTTACCCCACAAGCATTAAAGGCTTTCCTTACCGTTCTCTTTGTAGCAGTGCTGAAGCACAGGTACAGAACGGCAAAATAAAACCCCAGTATCTCTAGCTGTTATTGTCAACAGCTTTTTTCATACAATCCAATCCCACTGCATGGTCAAGAAAGCACCATACTCAAGCTTCACAAAGGTATTGCAGCAGAGACCCAATTACAGCACGTGAAATATATTTTTGCAGAGCTTTTTCACTCAGTTACATCATTTTGCACAGTGTCCCAGAAGGGCAGCTTTGTGTTCGCAGATGCTGTACTTTAACATACACTGCTTTCAGCACTGCTGACTCTTAGCATTTCACACCATGACTTCATTTACACTCAGCAGCAACACAGTTCATTGTACAAAATTAAAATTCATGTTAGTTCAAGGCAAATGGAAATGCTGCCAGCCCACAAACTATACGCCGAAGACGCTTGGATTTTTCACACACCCTTACTACCAGAATCTTCGGCCTATCTTGCTTGGGAGTTTAATGCTTGAAAACTTACCAACTTGGACCTATATATAGTTTCTGGGAATTAATATCAACGTTGAGAAACCCTCCTTAAAAATAAAAAGTTCAACACATTGTAAAAACCACAGGCATCATTTTATGGAATGGGCACAAGAAATGTCTGGCTCTTATACCTTGGCATATAACACAAAGGAAACATGTAGAAGAGGCAAATAAATTAATTTCTGTGTCCCTAAAACCAATGTGCAAAAAAGGTCCTTTTTTCCAAATTACATTCCATATATTTAACACCAGAAATCTGAAGACTCATCAAAAAGATAAAATCTGTATCTTCACAAACACTTATTAAAAAAACTCTTAGCTTTTAGTAACTATGAAAAATAATAAATCATTAAGTTATGAAGGATGATAGAGAAATCCACAGGAATATCAATAATGTAATGGAATAAAGATGGCTGAGGCAGAAGAAAGATCAAAACGATACAATGCAACAGGCACTGAATCTACTCTCCTAGAAGGCCATTCCTTAATCTGTACTGGGATCTTCTCCTAATTATTTCTCCATAGGCTGATGGGGCCTGATTACCTATTAGGATATAACAAATTTAAAGTATCAAAAACATATCAAAATCTGACAATAAAAATGATCTTATCCTGAAAGCCTTCTCAAACATTTGCTCTCGTCCGTGGAATACTCTTTAACATAACTAGGTCTGTAACAAGTGCCGTTGGGGTCTGTTCATCTGCAAATCATGCTGCACATACACGAAGCAGCAAGCACGAAACAGCATCCAATGACTAAACTTACATTTGATAATCATATATCGTATCACTTGTGAGCGCAGTCTGTGAATCCCAAAGTAGAAGTTCAACTGCAAATTCAACTTGTTCTGAGTGTAGAACAAGCTCAAAATTGTTGATATGTCACTTGACTTATCTTAAACTCTGAGACAAAACTTTTTAGGGGAAAAAAAATAAAAATAACCAAACGAACAAACCACAAGCAAACTACGAACTAAAAAAACACAACAACCAACACAACAGGCCAAACCAACCCGTTTTCCTTTTGATTTAGAGTTCAGAAGGAAGGCTCCGAGTACACCGGCATATAACATGACTTTTGGGGTTAAGTAAACAGAATTTAGAGCTGCCAGCCCAGGTTTGCTAAACCCTTGTCGTTTAGATCAGATCTCCAAATCAACCCTAGACACATGATAAGTAGCCAACAAAACAAGTGAAAGGATATAAAAATCAGCTGTGATCTAACTGCAAGCGTTCAAAGATTTTCTCTTTTTTCTTTCTCACTTCTTTGCTCTCTAGATATTTACAGGAAAACAGTATCTTTGTTACTGAAAAGCCACCTGTATTAGCTATTTATTTCCTTTAAATCATGACCCCTATGATATTCCAACAGGTTTCTCAAAACAACTGAATCACTGCCATTTACTACATCCAAGAATCAAGAGGGGCAACGGATGAATGGTTAAGAAACAAAGAACCCATTTTCAAGTAGTCTTCCTAAATTTAAAAAAAAGTCTAGTGGAGTATGAAGAAGACACGAAAGTGAAGATACATGTTTAGGGATCCAGCATAAATCCCACTGAGTTGCCTAAAGAATAAGCATGGCTGAAAGAGCTGGAGAAACTGGACCTCCGAGAAGCAGATGGCACACTGCAACATGAAAGCTTCATGACAACTGGGAGCACAGGAGGTCCACGAAAGAAGTAAGCGCAGGAAACCGGTAAGGTCTATGCACTGTGTATAAATACCGTGTATAAATCTCACTAACAGGCAATAAGCAAGAAACTTTACTCACATACTTTAAAAACTAGATCTATAAACCTAGTGGGAGAAACTGCACACCAGGAAAATGCAAGCCGCAACGGCTACTGTAAAAGATCACATTTCTGAACTCAGCAAATTAGAAATGACTGTACTTGCCAAAGTACACTAACCTGACTCTAAAAATACAAGAGAAACACTTCAAGACAGACTGGGAGAGTCTGTACCGTAAGTTAAGGCATACAAAAATATCCATTGGAAACACAGGAGATGAACAATAATTCAATCTGAGAAAGACAGAGAAGGAATATAAATTAGAAGCTAATGTCATCTCTATGAAACAGTTGTAGAATACATGTTCACAGCACTACAACATTAGGATGTCTGAAGTATTTACTTTTTAATCTTCTTTCATGAGCAATGAGAAAAATTTCTGGTGAGGATATAGGACTCTGGCTAGTTTATTAATAAAGCCTAAAGTTATGCCTCTTTGTGGTATCTAATACGTAACAATGAAATAAAAGGAAGTGCATTGTTGGATGTAAAATTCCACTAGAAAGGCACTTTTCCGTATATCTCTCCTAATGAATCTTATTTTATCTAGGATTACTGAAACGATCCAAATCTAGTTTGTTTCTGAAACAAGCTCTGAGTTAGTTTCTGAACTTCTTGCTGTTTAAATCGAAAGGAAAACTTATCTGCAAATGATGTTGTCACTGTAGTCATAAGAAAAATAGCTTGACATGTATGACAAATTTTATAAACATTAGAAATTCTATCTAAATCTAAAAATATTACTCAAAGTTTATATAAATACACCCACTCATACCTTTAACAAAAAACTGGTTCTTAACCTATTACAATTGCCTGGACTTCAAGCGAAACTAACAGGTAACCTTAAGTTGATAATTGTTGACACTGCCGAGAAGAAAGTACATTTACTTCTTGACAGTCATTTTTATATGTTCTTAGCAAATACATGATTGAAGTCCCACTGTTAATCATTAAATACACATTTATCTCTTGCTACCTTTTTACTCTATTCTGTCCCCCAAACATGTTACACTTTAACACTTCAGAAACATTTTCTGATCTATCTTTTCGCTTCCTGTAACCTGTACAGCATCATGTACCTGCTCTTTAGTATTAATACAAACAAAGTGGTCCCAACATACAAGCCTGCGTGATCACTCAGTCTTGCGAAATCAGCCATTTGCCTTACAGGCCACTCTGCCCTTGCTTGGCCTCATTTCATTAATTGGGATTCTGCAACCTACGTCTGTGTTACAGCTGGTGCTTCCAGGAGAGCCCTGCCGAAAGGCTGTTCTGGCCACTCTGGGGATTCAATATTCCTCACAAGTACAAGACATTGGTACAAACTATCAAAAAAGCGCAAGTGATTAAAGTAATTCCTTTTTTTTTTTTTTAACCATTCAATGAAAGTATAACACAGACTCCAAGAAAATGCTGCACAAATCTTGAGACAAAGATTTTATCCTCTTACCTCATAAAGTCCAAAGGAAAAAAAAAAGAAAACTGACATAACCAGTTGGGTAATACCGCCTGAGCATTTTCCTGGTCTGTAGTGTTATGTAAAACATTAAATGCGCTGTAAGTGGGCTAACCAGGTTAGCAGCAAAATGGGAAAATAAAATAAAATAGTTATGATGTGGTTTAAGAAGTGATAAGCGATTCCCAACAGAAAAAAAAAAAAAAAAAAGAAACTGGCACGTCCCGGGAGGGAATGCGCTGTGCCCGTACCTCGCCCCGGACA